TGCCAGGCTGAATAAAGCTTAACGTTCCTTTGGCCTGTGGATGGGAAAAAAAAAAAAATAAGGTGGGAAACTTTCCCCCCCCCCCTTTGCCTCTCCTGCAGCAAACTCTTTACTCTCCCCCTGCCTCTCTTTCTGCCCCCCCCCCCCTTTGCCTCTCCTGCAAACTTTCCCCCATTTCCCTCTGCTGTTTCTTGCCTCCCCATTTGCACATGTAAAACAGAATCAGTCCCAAGCTAAGGCATGACCCAAGGATGACCACGTTTCTGCTGCTGAAATAGCCCTCTTAATGCTATCACATTGAAACAATGGGAGGGGCCATCACCTGTCTGCTTAAGGGCTTGCAGAAGGGGCAACCCTGATAAGGAAATCCTTTGTTAACAAGTGAGAAACTGCAGGAATTCCATTCTTATTAAGAATATGTGCCTGCTCTTTGCAACATTCCATTCTCTTTTGTAACAGATTCCTTGACTCATAGGAAAACAACAACAACAACCAATTTTCCCCTGTCAAGCACCTATGCAAAACTTACCCACCAAACAGATCCCAAGGATTTCCTGCCTCTCAACCCCAAAGGGCATAAGAATCTCTGCCTTTCTATTGTTCAGGGTCCCTCTTTCTTGGAAAGCAGGCACTCAATGGTCATTGCAATAAACAAGGTTCTTCTCCTAATCGTTGTGCTCCTGTCTTTGGCAAAAATTCCACAGCATCTACATTTGTCCACATTGATGCCTCTTATCCTGTCGCTATCTGAAGGCTATCAGCTTCTTTTTGGCTACCTTTGAGCATCTATGCTTTCCTTGCCAAAGTTCACCCATATTCTTGCTATTCTTGTTAGTTATTGTTATTTTGCACAGGTTAGGTTAGCTCCAGGCTAAGTTTAAAATTACACATACACGGTAAAGGCACGCCTCTTAACCAGAGGCATCAATTGTCAGCAAAGTGGGGAGAAGTTCTGCATCCTTCTGAAATACTTTAGCATATTTGCAAGGATGGGAATGCTATAATGGAACATGGACATGATATTTCTTATAATGTGTTAGGATTTGAAGAAGCCAGTGCTGCATATCTTTCTGTAATGAACTCAGTTGGACTTCATGTTAGCTTTCCACTACTTTTCAGAGTCTCCAAAGATTGTCCATAGGTCTGGTTCCAGAATGCTGCAAGGAGCTTCTACCACAATCCAAGAATGGTTGAACCAATCCTGGCCTCAGGATAAAATCCATCTCCATGTGGTTGTGGCCCTGACCTGCGGTTCATTTGCAGCTTATTTGGTACTGAAATGGTTAGGCCAGAAAAAGCTTAAAAAACAAATAGAAGAAACAAGAAGGGAAAGGGATCGTGGCTTGGTACAAATGGAAAAATCAGTGCAGGCATTTAAACGCCAGGTACCTATTTCCTAAATGTTTTTGTTATTGTATAAGTACTTATTACACTTATTTATACTTACTGTATAAATAAATGTAGTAACTCAATGTTTATATAAGTGCATATGTATTTAGATATGATATTTTTCCTGCAGATTTCAGGAGTTTACAGGAGTTGGAATAATAGGGTTATTGATAAGATAGAATTTCAGTAAACAATTTCAGATAAATATCTAATACATCTAAATTTTGATTTTTGGTATTTCCCTGTTGTTTGGCTCTTGTCAATAAGGTTGGGTTTGGTCACTATCCCTCTTTTAAGTAATGCTGAAGGATATTTCATGACTACACATGGAGGAGAAGAACTTCTGAAAGTTTTCATGGGATGAACTTTATTTTTAAATACAACTTTAACCAAAAGGGTTGCTACTGCTTCAAATGTCAGCTTGGCTGCCCACAAGAGCCGGGGACAGAGGTTGAATGGAAAGGAGCTTCACCATAACTTAGTCTGGTTCTTTGGGATGGGAAGATGGATCCATCTCTGGTTTGCTACTGTCACTTCTTCAGTTCATCGTCTTAGTAGGCACAAAATAAACGTTTGGGTCAAGTAGAACAGAAAAGTCTCCCAAATGACTGGCAGCACCTACACGCTATAGCAGAGGTGCAGAACGTGGGGCTCCAAGGGCCTGATGTGACCCGTGAAAACTTTGGGGCAACACCCAGACCCATCCAAAATTATACTCAATGGTAACGTTAATAGGATGGGAGGGGGAAATGGTTAAATGCATGGTTGCTGGCTTGCCACTCAACAACCAAAGTTAGTCCCCCCCTCCCGCAAAAAGTTGTACACCTGCTCTGTCAAATTTGTAGAACTGCTGTACTGTGCCCTTTCCTTACAGAGCTCTAGGGTACCAACTGATGACATCCTTTCTCTGCCTCTGGTAGAACTGGTTAAGAGGCTGAAGGAAGACACTTTGTCTCCAGATATTGTCCTTTACACCTATATGGAAAAGGTGAGCATAGTTGGAAACAGCAAGGTTGGGGCCATATGGACCGTGGGGTGAGGGTGGGAGTGGCAACAGATTCCCTAGTAGCACATCTATTAACAAGAATGCTTTTGGAATTCAGGCAAGCCCCATGGGCATTCTTAGGAAAGAATGGTGCGTGGCTTTGTTTCTAGGTATCCTCCTACCTAAAAAAAAGACAACGGTAACCTGGGTTTGTCAAGTGGGACTAGAAATGCTGTGGACATAAACTACATTCATTTCCCTTACAGAGAATGGGTGCTTTCTGACTTGCCACAGAAGGCCGGCTATGGCTGTCATTTGGCGAAAATGTCCACAATGTGCTTTCCAAATTCCAAACATGCTCGTCAGCCTTGCCAGTCCCTTACTTAACTTATCCCTACCAAAAAATGTGTGTGTGTGTGTGTCGCAGAACACTGTACTATGCAGCTAGAATAACTTAAATTTTGCTCCAGTTCATTTTCTTTTATTTTGTGTACTTGATTTCCAGAACTAGTATTATCTCTCAAGGTATAGCCTCTTGAATTTCTTGATAATCTACTTTCTTAATAAAGCATAGCTTTGCCAGAACATTAATTCCTTCTCTTATCTATATATGTATATGCATGTGTGTATTTTGGGGAATTTCC